GTGTAAAAAAAGGTTTGCAGTCAGGAAAATGTAGGTGGAGTCACGTCGTGTATTGGTGTTTCTATGTTAATTTGTCACATAGTTCACGTTGTGCTGTAACATATGGATATCAAATGGGTGTTTGAATGCTTTCACAGATTGGGACACACAATCGCCTCAGGTAGGTTATTTCACGGGTCCACGATCCGGTTAGAGAAAAAATACTTCCTCATATCCTATCGTCCTTGAGGCGCATACAGTTTTAAGTGATGTTTCCGTACATTAATTGTAGTGGCGAGTTGGCAAAAGTCCTCATACATGAGAACGCAGTCCAAGTCACGCACGATACGGAAGGTTTTTATCAAATCTCCGCGTAACTTAGAGGATAGGGACTAAGGTTATTTAAGCGGATCTCATATGGTAGTGCACCTTGGCCTCTTACTAATTTTTGGATCATCGCTGCACCCTTTCGAGTACGTTATAATCCTGCCGGATCCACGGTCTCCAGGCTTGAATCGCCTATTCAAGATGTGGCCTTATGAAGGTACCGAAGCTTTTAGAGAAGCAGTCTTCATCAAAAACTGTGACAGTCCGTTTGATGGTGTACAACATTGAAGTTTCTGCTTTAACCGCCTTACAACACTGTGTAGAATGGACAATTGTTTAGCCAGCTCTCTAGCAAGTTAATTGAGAAGTTTTGTTGGGATTTCATCTGGACCAGGAGGCTTACATTCATTTCAGCTTTTTAGTTCTCCAAAAATCGCTTCTTCTCCAAACAGAATACCTGAATGGTTGGCGTTCCCGCGAGCTCGTCACTGGGTATGATGAAAGCGATTTCTGTGTCGAAAACCGACCGAAAGAACTCATAAATGCTCAGCTTTTTTCTTGCGTGTGCTGTTTCTTAAGTAGCTGTAGAGCAACTTGGGATTTTTGACTGCCCGATGTAGAAAATCACTCTCAACCTCCCACCTTCTTTTAAAGACCAAACTTTTAGTCTTGTTCCCCTGGATTTTATGTTCGTTGAAAGCTTCATTATGATTTGTTCCACAAAACTGCTTCCAAAGTCTTCCTTCCTTATTGATTTATCTTTTTAGATCTCTTTTCAGCCAATAAGATCGGCTGAATATCTTGGGCACTGATAGTGGACAGTGAATTTTCATTAATTTAAGTCCTCGGGGACATTTTCGGAGAAAAAGACCTTAATCTATTTGCGATGCCTCTGCTCTTGATCCCATTGGCATTAAACCCACAGCTAAGATGTCATTGAAGCACTTTATTGAACGAAGAAGGCGATTGCCCTTTAACTCTCTACTTATATCCGACAATCGCAAATTAACTTATACTTTGACAGCAGTACATATGGCAACTGTAGAGTTAAAGCCAGTGATAGGTGAGCCTGTTGAAGACTACCGTTACTGACGCAATCTTCATTGTAAGTACAACAGTTTCTCAGCAAACGAGAATTGCGTTTTCATTTAAATGTCACAAAAACTTCTGAAAGGATTGCCTCGTCAGAGAATCCGTCCCATGCTCTGATGAACCTCGGCGAGAAGGCGTTCCGCCGATCATCTTTATGAGCCTGTAGTAGGCCTTTGCCATACTTGATTTCATTCACAAATTTGCCGTACATTTATTTGTGCACAACGTTCTCTACTAATTCTATTCGATACGCATTTCCATAACTTGCATTTATCGCCTTTGGTTTACGTTGGTGTGCAAATGTTACCCACGACATTTCAACTGATTTGAATTACGATTATCAATAGTGGACATCTTGCTCCTATTGTTATTCTTCACAAGACGGGGCACGGGTATTGAGCTTGGCTTATGTTGACGTGTTCTTAGCGTGGGATCGC